TTGATTCTGTATGTAAGTCAGAACTGGCGGTCAGTTTCAGCAGCGGCTGAATCTGGACGCCAGTTCCGACTTACATACAGATTCAACTTAAGAACAGACCAGAGAGCCTGGGAGTCTTATGGCAGGAGGGCTAACAGTTTGACTGGGGTTGGGGGCAGCGGAGCTGGAACCCCTAAGCAATGCTGGGGCCAGGTTGGAGAACCCTGGCAGCCTCTTGCAGTGAGGGGCAGGGAATCCATGGCTGCCCGCGGCAGCACAGAGCCAGAGAAGCTTGGTGGCTCGTGGCAGCGTGGAGTCGGGGGCTGGAGAAGCCTGGCTACCTGCGACAGCATGGGGTTGACTCAGCAGCATGGGGGCTGGGAAAACCTGGCTGCTTGTGACAGTGTGGGGCCAAAGAACTGCAACAGTGCTGGGTGTGGTGTGGGGCGGGGAGGGGTAAAGAACTCCAGTTGCCCATGGTGGGCCAGGGCCAGGGCTGCAGGGGCCAGTGGCAGCATAGCAGACAGTTCATTTGGGGAGCAGTTAGAGGGGGCAGAGGCAGGGGGCTGGCTGGCTCAGGACCAGTTGCAAGGATACCTCCCTGGTCTGGCAAACTTTCTGGTTTGGGACTGGTCAGGTCCCTTTTCCCTCTTTGCTCCAAATTCTAGGTGGTTTCTCCTTATTCCTGGCCTCTATTCAAGTTCTTGACTTTGTATCCTTCCTGCTACCCTTTCCATCATATTTCAGCTGTTGGTGTTGTGGATAAGTAAACAAATGAAGAAAGGGTTTAGCATTGCTGGATCAATGAGTTGCAAGTATTTTATGAGTTGAGAAGAAGCTACTGTAAGTGTAGGAGAGGAAGTGCAGTCATAGATGATGTGAACGTTATCTGGATATTCCTGGACACTTCTCTTTACATGGGGCACCACAAAACTGGCTTTTGTAGCAACCTAAGAGAAAGCATTTTCACTAATTGCCAAGGCTGAACTTGAGTGCTCTTCTCAAGGTAGGAGACTTTATATTTCTTTGCTAACTTTTGGCTTTAGTTTTCTTACACAGTCTTATTTTGTTTATCTTTTTATTTTCTTGTGTCCTGGTAGTTGATTATGTGAATTTCTCTTGAGTGCTGTGTTAAGCTTTTATCTGATTATAATTGTTAGCTGTGGCTTTAAATAAGAGTTTTCATTCAGTCTGTTTTCTTCTTTGCTTATCTATGGAAAAACAATTTGTTTTCATGAAAGGGAGGGAGGCTGTGATAAACGTGGCAGAAGTGTAGCCCTGTTTGTGGTTTCCAATTATGAGTTTCTGCTTTATTGCTAAGGTGTGTAATACTGTTTTGTGTTACTTTTCTTCAGGTCCAGTTGTGAATTAAGATATGTTTTGGGAAAATTCAGCACAGGAGTAACACAAAGCTCTAATAGCCATGTGGGGTAGCAGTGGACATACTTGTTTAAATCTAAGCTAATTCTTTCAATGATACCTAGAAAGCAATTTTCAAAGTTCGCAACAAATTCTCTTCCAACCTTAATCAGCATGAAAGTGTCACTACAATCTGGGTCCTATTATTTGGATTTCAAACAATACCCGTAATTATCTAAGTGCTTTGTATATACACAGGAAGACATGATCACAACCCTAGAGTGTTTAGTCTGGAAAAAACGAGTCCAGTGGCATTTTAAAGACTAACATTTATTAGGATATCAGAGCAAACTTGCTTCCTTAGATGCAGTGAATTGTAGCTCACAAAAGCTTATGTTCTAGCACCCTAATAAATTTGTTAGCCTTTAAAATGTCACTGAAATGTCACTGAAGCAACCACCTATGAACGGTAGGGGGGAAGAGTTATAGTTAAAATGTGAAAGATTTATATCTAGTGGGGGCTACATTGTCACTGGGTATTTGTTTACTGAAATAATCTTAAATGACCCATTCTTAGGTTGGCCAACTTCTAATAGCCTTCAAGGAAGAAGTGGGAGGATAGACATAGTCTTGCTCATGAGAGTGTTTCAGATGTGATGGGGAGCATGCAAGATTTTGTAGCAGGTTGGGTGGACAGTGAAGACAGGCGGGGGGGGTACAGGGTTTTTTTAAAAAAAAAAAAAAATTTTAAGCAGCCTTTTTTTGAAAAAATGTCACCTGCATCTAGACTGCAGCGTTCTTTCGAAAGTAAATCGAAAGAATGCAGCAGATTTTTTTGATCGCGGTAAACTTAATTTTACAAGGAATAACGCCTTTTCCAAAAGTACTCTTTTTAAAAAAGGCACGATTGAATGCAAACTGCTTTTTCAAAACAGTGTCTAGACTTTCAAAGAAGCTGCTCGCTGTTTCGAAAAACTGCTTGTAGTCTAGATGCTCTTTCGAAAGAGGCTTGTAGTCTAGATGTACCCGGAGGGTGGGGTGAGGGAATGAGAGGCAATAGGATAAGAAAAACACAATAGATGCAGGGGGAGAAACAGAATGAGGACAGAAATCTTGTGATGGAAAAGAAGGAACAAGTTGTAGGATTGAAAGGGGTGGATAACAGACTAAATGACACACCAGAGTGTTGATATCAGCAGCTGGAGGGTGGAAGATGTGTGGTGGGAAGACCAAAGAAAAGTTTCCAGTAACTAAGCTGTGAAGTGGTAAAGACTTGGACTTTTAGTAATATGGGTGAAAAGCAAGGGGAAGAGGAGGAAAAACCCAGAAACAGAAGTCTCACAAAGACAGACAAACCAAAACTTCTGAATGCATTAGTTCCTAAAATCCTGTAAAACTGAACATAGACAAAATGGTTAATTATTTTAAGTGTCTTGTACATTTAAAAAGCTTCTCCTATATATTAATGATTAGTGCTCGAGGTGACGAGTGTTTTGCATTTAATTATTCTTTTTATCTCTACCGTTTTTGCCTTTCCTCCAGTTTCTGATAAAGGATTCACTGGATGGCATTTCATTCAGTAAATCCTACCACAAAAATTACATTCTATAATTTACTAAAACCTCTTAATTATCTTTTTTTGTTGAGGGACTTAATCAGCTTCTTTTCTTCTCTCATCTTGGTATTTGGGATCACTTAGCAACTCACCAGCATTTCCCAGAATTGCTTTGCTTATTTAAGCAAGGTAAATAAAATAATTGATCAAGTCCAACCTTTTCTTTCATTGCATTGGTTTTCATGTAAATGTTTACTTTTATTTAGGGAAACAAAAGCTAAAGTAAAGACTAAAGGACTTTATTAGTCCCTGTTATTTAGTGTCTAATAGAAAAACACTAATCATGTAAAGGACTAATCGACTATCCGATAAGCAAATGCTTATCAGATAGTCCAGTCGACTAGTTGATTTCCCCCTCCCCCCTGTTGCTGCCTCTATCAGCAAAGGTGGGGGGAAGGGGTACTTCAAAGCAGCAGCTCCGCATATCTGATCCCAGGCTCTGTGTGGTGCTGCCCCTTTGAAAAGCCACGGTGGCATTTCAAAGTGGCAGTGCTGTGTGGAGCCTGGGGTCAGCGGGGGACTCCCCGCTGACCCCGGGCTCCCTGCGGCATTTCTGCGGAACTGGGAGTCAGCTGGGGCATCCCCAGCTGATCCTGGGCTCCGTGCG